CCTTTGGCCACTTAATCAGGGCCTTCAAGCATCAGGGGGCTCCCGAAGCTGTAGTGCTGGTGGCAGGCAGGAACTCTGCTCCGGTCTTGGCCCTGGTAGCTCGCATTTCCCTTCTGGGCCCTCAGCCCCCCTTCCCTTCACACTCCACTTTGCCCTGGCCCTGGGAGCCTGTCCAGACTTGTGGGCCACCTCTGGAAACAGGCTGACCACAACTCTCCTCCTGGCCCCTCCAGAACTGTTAACCTGGGAACAGATGAAGAGAGGAAACCAGGCCTCTCCTGCCAGGGAGAGAAGGAGGGCACTGCACTGACCTGGGACGTGGGGCCTCTTCCAGTTTCAGCTCTGATGTTCACCAACTGTGTAACTTTGGACGAGTCCCTTTCCTTCCCTGAACCTCAGAGGGTTTTTCTAAGTAAGTGTCATAGAGGTGCCCCTGGCCAGGTAGAGATGATTCAGTACCAGATATTGCTCTAAATAACATTACATCATACAGCAACTAAGTTATTTTCCTTCCAGTTTCTTCAATCCTGATTGAGTCCGCAATACCCGGTTCCAGTCTGATGACAGTGTATTTTTGATGCCTCTATACCCTTTTCTAATATCCCTTTTTGACAAAGAGCACTGTCTGTAACGGTGCGCATCCATTCTTAAGGCATCTTGGCCAAGCCCCCACAAATATGCATGCAGACCTTGAAAACCCCCAGATAGGAACACGGTGCCAAGGCTCTGAGGCAAAGCCTTTGCTGAGATGCACGGAAGGCCTGAGGAGCTACGTGAACAAAGACACTTGGACAGAGGCACAGGTGAGTTCTGGGTACCTAGTCCTAGGGAGATGGTACAAAGAAAGACTTAGTGGGTGAGTATAAGAGAGTGTTAAAACAGAAATTTCTACCTGGGCACCCAGGACACACCAGATGCTATAAACCAAACTGAGGGGCCAGGCCGAAGGGAAGAATCGACAAAGGAATGGTTTGAGAGCTCATTGCATGACTCTTGGCACTCTTGTCAGACCAAGAATTTTGAAAATGTGACCTCTGTCGCTGGGAGGGGGAGGAAGAGTGAGCATGCCTCTGAGGTCTTCCTGAGAAAGAGAGAGGGCGAGAGGCTGGCTGGCTGCCTGGCGGAAGGGGAAAGAGAAGTCACTGCTGCTGCACGGGACAGGTGCTGGCTGCCCTCTGGCCCTGCCTGGTAGACGGAAGGCACGATATGCCGCGGTGGGAGCTGGCCTGGGCTAGAGGGATCCTGACAGAAAGTAAGGGGCCCCAGCAATGATAACCACGAGGAGCTGATGCTAGCAAAGCAGAAGCTCAGCACGAGGCCTGGGCTTGGCAGTGATAGGAAAATGTGCGTGGCCGGCTCTGCAGCCCATCAGTGATCGGGCCCAATACGGGAACCCCCAAGGTGCCAACAAAAGGTCCCCACAAAAGAGGCGGCTTCAATATCAGTCGGGTCCAGAGAGGCGGAGCCGGTTAGTCCTTGTCCCGGCCGTGACACACATAGGAACCCGCCTGCTGTCTGTCCGCTTACCTCTCCTTTCTCTCCTCCTTCAACCTGGAAAGAGGTGAGTAGAGAAAGGGAATAGACGGCCCGGCCAGCTTCGCACTGCACCTCTGCTGGGGGACAGGAGGAAGTCTCACCTTTAAATGAAGATGAAGGAAGACAGGGTTACTTAGGAGCGGATTACTATGGGGAGAGGAGAGCACCCCTACTGGCTAAATTATAAAGTGGCAGAGGGAAGCAAAAATAAAGTTGCAGTCTCTGGTGTCGGACTTGCTCAACATAGGTTGCATAAATGATAAAAGAGGTGGCAGGATGACAGGGCAAATGTGGTCGAAGTGTTATATACATGATTTACTTTTGGAAAACGGTGCCTCACACACTACCCAGGCCCCGGGAGTCTCCATGTCCCTCCCTTGCCTACTTGATGAGAGTCATGGAAAACTGGTCAGTGTGATTGGAGAGCTGAGACACATCTAGGTTCTCAGAGGAGAAACTGAATTCTTAAAGCAGATTTGAAATGGTCTGGGGAGTTGCAATCCACAAACATTTTGGATGAGGAAGAGGGGGAGGACGGAAGCGGTGGGAGCCAGTCTCCCAGGCAGGTAAGAGTCCTGCCAACAGCTAGAGGAAGACAAGCAGGAAGGAAAGACAGCCCAGTGAGAGAGGAAGAAGAGAGGGGAACCATCTGCTTCACTCGACTGCTCCCTTCTCTCTTCAAACCTCCACCCTCAGCCACACCTGCCTGGCAGAAGGGAGGAGGGTCTGCTCTCCGGCTCATGTCTGCCCCGCAGCAGCCTCTTTGGACAATAGGATTGTGCTCAGTGACAGCCGGCCCAGGGCGGGGACCAGTGGCAGGGTGGAGAAGCAGGGCTCTGGAACACGGAGGGAGCAAAGAATTTCTCAGAGCTGGAGCACAGAGGTTCCTGCAGCCTGAGCCAGGAACTGTTTTGGAAATAAAGGCGGGGAAACGTGATTCTGGTTCCAAATCCAGAATGGAAAAGAGTGTCTCCTTGCTTCCAGGGCATCTCCGAGAAAAACAAGGCTCCAAATGGCCCTGCTCCCAGCCTGTGCCCCCACCTTCCGGGATCTGTTCCCCCAGCCTACTCTCCAAGGTGGTGAGAAAACCTGGGGTGGGGTGTCAAGGCTCCAAGGAATCAAGACAGGTTAACATTTCTGAGGGCTTTTAAATAAATTCGGAATCACGAACTTGGGGAGGGCTCCAAGGTACGCTCTAATGCAACCTCTTCAGTCACAGACAGGGACACTGAGGCAGAGGCAACTGGCTTAATGCACACGTACAATGTCCCAGGCACTGTGTGACGCTCTATACCTGAATTCTTTTATTTGAAGTGTACAATAAGCCCTAGGAAGGCAGTGCATTTATTCCATGTTTCAGAGGAAGAAACAGAAGCTCTAAGAAGTCAAATGATTTACCCAAAGGCACACAATCTGAGCACTGGGGATAGCATTTGAACCCGTGTCCGAGAGGCTCTGAAAACCACACTTAATCCACTGTACCTTGCTCTCTTCCTTTGCTATTTTCCCCCTGCTTTATAGAAGAGGAAACTGAAGCTCAGAGAGGCTAATTTGCTCATGTTTACATAACCAGTTTGTGGCAGAAGTTATATTTGAACTTGGGTTTGGCTGACCCTAATGCCCAAATGCTTTCCATTATGTCAGCGTTTCTTTGATTTTTTTTCTCCTAAATATCCCGAATGACAGAGAGACCTTGAAGTATGTGGCAAAGCTATACAGAGCAATAGAGAGATTTCTTGGATACTTCGTATTTTGTTATGTCTCACACACACACTACATGATTTTGAAAATGTAAAAGTGACACTTTTTCTCCCTCATGATACTTGAGTAAATCGGCGCTTGAAGAAAACCTCCTGTTTTTTTGAGAGGCCTGCACTTGGCTTAACTAAAATGATGGGTTCCATGGGGGGCAGCCTCCTGGGTTTGACACCCCTCCGTGAGCCCCTTTGGAGTGTTAATTGGGTGTTCCCAGGGGCTCAACCAAAAGACCAGAGTGCACAAAGCGCCCCAGCTCATTTCTTGCTTGGACCCTGCAAAAGCCTCTTC